ATAAATATTATCTGAACAGAGGCTCTGGGTTTAGACAAAGTTTTTTGAAAGGGGACAAATGCACATGTATGTATGTATGTGTCCAAAGTAAATATGTCGTGCATTTAAGAGCAAAGGTTTGTATTTCCTTATGTATTGTCATTGGTAGTACAACAGCCCCCTCCCAACGAGCATTGAAACAGCCAATCAAACTGGACATTGAATCTTCTGTCGGAACTTTAATGAAATGCACTACTCAATGCTCTCCAATGCTCTCAATGCTCGCAAATACTTGGGTGAAACGGCTATTTGTCATAGCTACAAAGGAACTATTGCTTATTGCTATTGGTGTTCTCAATGCTCGTGGAGGGGGGCCCCTGTTGTGTATAATGACACAAACTGATCTGATAGACGATTCAGAAGAGAAACAGAAACAGACTGGAATGAAACTCCCGAAGCTTGACTTCCTTCTCTTTTAACTAATTACAAACAATAAGTGACTCATTGACCAAATTTCTTATTTATTTCTACTTTTTCTATGCTTGTCCTGTGCGGTGGCCTTTTCTTTTACTCTTTTTATTATGTGAACATTTGATTGTAAAAAAGAAGGGACAATGCAACAATAACTAGATCATAAAAGACTTGAATTTATTCATTCCGCAAGGTGTATCCATACAAGCCCCTGGTAACACTGTCCCGAAATTGACTGCGGTCGAATTGGTCCTTTCCTCTGAATTCCTGCCTTATGTCTCGTAAAAACATATCAATATCCTACATTCACGTTTTTAATTGTAATTTTAAAGTATCAGTTTAAGCATAAATGTAGAAAGAAAAAAAAAACCTGCAAGATGCTCTTTAAGCTTGTTGTCGTGCACTTTTCTACTACACGCACATGAGTAGGCTAGGCCTATTTAGTGAAGCTTTTTTTTTTAATCTTTATTGGAAAAAAGCATGTACAAACAACATGGCCTTCAGAGACTAAAAAGAAAAAAATGGAAAGGGACAGGTGCATACCAGTCTATGGTGCATACCTACCGAGGAATATAATTGACATCACAAACATTGACACGACATTAAAGTAATAAACTTAAGTTAAGTAAGTATAACAAAGAGCCAGGGCTTTTTACACAAATCTTATTTTTCAATTATGCTTTAAGGGTTGATTGCATTTTTGTTCATTCATTTAAGTGCTTTAAAAAAACAAGTTAAAAACTACATACAATTTAGGGTTTGCTTTTATACATTTGGATTTATGAATATGAAATGTACATAGAATAACAATATTATTGATTCAAAATGATTTCTAAAGTAAGTCAATAAATGATGTCATTTAGAGAACAATTGGTGAATCACCCATTCTTGAGAAAAGCCAATCATGTATATCCAGCCATAAAGCCTCAGAATGAATACGATTTAAAAAAAAAAAAAAGGTGAACAGTTATTTCAGGCAATCACAAAAAACAAATGTATTAGTTTCTATACCAAATCGCTGTTGTACCAATTTATCTTAGTGTAATGTATGTATCTTAAGGGGCTGTTTGTTCTTAAGCTGCTAAATTCAAAGTCTCATCTCCAGATCTGGGTTTTAGCAACATCCAGTTTTTTTTTATTATGTATAACAAACCACAGATAAATTACATTTAGCATCGGATTTAAACAAAGTCACTTGACTCCATTTAACTGTAGTCAAGAACACATTGCACAGTTTCAAAATTGCACATAAGGTGGTTAAAATCAGCTGAGCTATCCTTAAACATGTGATGCACAGCGATGATGTTGTGTGAGGTGATGGTTTATTCTGCCTGTGGAGGAGCTCCCTTCTCTCAACAGGATGTGTGATTGTTACGCTGGGTTAAGATAAGCAAAGCAGAGAAACCATTCCGCTCAAGAAAGGGCTGCCAAAACTCTGCTGCTCAAAAGGTGAGATGCTGTTGCTGATTTATCGTCATGTTATGTCAAGTAGGCACACCCTTTTAGGCCTATTTCGGCCTGGATTATATCAGGGGAGCCAGAAAGCTGATTACATATCTGTAATCTTGTTTTTATAAAAACATTTCCAGTGGCAGAAATACAGTTAGGGCAGGGCTGATTTATCCAGTGAACCCCTGCAATGATCGGATTTGCCAGTTTGAAGCAGAATCAAACCACAGAAATGCTGACATCTTGTCTATGTAATAACAGACAACCATTCAACCAAATATTTTCCAGCAGATAGGGTAACCCAATTTGTTCATCCATGGAAACCATTTCCCATTAATTAAGGGCTCAAAGTAAAATGGCAGAACAGATTTATTTCTCTATTCCCCTCAGCTATTTAAACCATGGAATTAGTGCATAATGTAAAGAAAACAAGCATCCTTTAACCCAGTGTTGTCAGCAAGCTAATTATATGGTTAATTAAACTTCACAAAAGCTAATTTCAGTCAAAACTACACTAACTCCATGATAGGTGACCTTTGTATGCAGTAAAAAGTAAATCTACTCTATTCATCAAATGGCATACGGTACATTTTTTAAAACCCTGCTCCTGTATAATTTGAACATTTGTTTAACCGATATGAGACAGAGCATGCAAACAAGCCTCTATGTTACATGTTATGTCTGCGGCCCAAGGTCTGTTAGCCAACATCCTCAGATAGTCACATGGAATTAGACACTGAATATCCACTGAATACTCTTCCACCCACTGTGGTGAGATAAACAGAGAGAAGGCAAAATAGAAAGTGAAATTTTACTGCAAAAATCATCTATCTAGTCTGAACCAGCAGACAGATGAAACCAGGAAGAGTGGAAACTCATTTTGTTTATCTGTGTAAAGTGAAATTCCATCCTACACCTTTTTGTATGAATGAAAAACAGATTGAGGAACACTTTGAGGAACTCCTGAACCCGACAACTCCGCCCTCTATGTTAGAGGCAGAGCTGGAGTATGACGGGGGATCGACACCAATCTCCCGGGGGGAGGTCGTCAAACAACTTCACAGTGGCAAAGCCCCGGGGGTGGATGAGGTCCGCCCAGAAATGCTGAAGGCTCTGGGTGTTGAGGGACTGTCATGGTTGACACGTCTCATCAACGTTGCGTGGAAGTCGGAAACAGTACCGAAGGAGTGGCAGACCGGGGTGGTGGTTCCCCTTTTTAAAAAGGGGGATCAGAGGGTGTGTGCCAATTACAGAGGCATCACACTCCTCAGCCTTCCCGGGAAAGTTTATTCTAAAGGTACTCGAAAGGAGGGTCAGGCCGATTGTCGAACCTCAGATCAGTGGCGGCGCCAGAGATTTTCTCTAGGGGGTGCTGTGGGGTAGATTGACGTTTCATAGAGGGTGCTCAAACTTTAAGGGTTTCCCATTAATGCACCAGCGCTACAGTTGAATTTTCTACTGCAACTCATACTTGTTAACCCCCCCGATTTTCGCGGGAGACGATTTCATTATAAAACAGGACAAGAAGAGCGTAAGATCTATATAAGATCACATGATAGTTTGATTAGAGAGGTAGAGTCGTGGATGCAGTCATGAACGCTCTAGAATGGTTGGTATGAATGGGGGGCGGCGCGATGCATTTCCTCTGGCACAAAGTGTGTACCCTTGCTTTGTACAACATGCGACATAATGTTCAGGCTCACCTATCGTCAGACTTCATTTGAGACTAAAACAGTCTTTTAGCCCCTTCTTTACGCCCTCTTTATACTGGGAGTCCTCCT